AAACTTACCTACCTTATTCGTGCACCACCAAAAAAACACAAAATTTTTCATAATTTCATTTTCATTTTGCACACACATTTATTCATCTAAATGTTTGTCTGTATGTTTCTTTTTGTATTGTATTTTTTTTGTATTATTTTTTTATGTAAGCGAAAATGAAAGAAAAGCATTAACGAAATTTTTAATTTAGTTTTAAAAATTACATCAATATGAACGATTTTTTGTAAGAATGCTAAAAAAATAAAGTAAGAAAAACAAACGATGCACGTTAAAAACAAAATCAAAAAACCTACATACAACCTACCTTGTACTACTACTACTACTATGCATGAACTCTAGGAATTTATGAAGATCACTGTGAAAAAATGATAAAAGGCACCAAGTAAGATACATTTTAAATATTTTTTTTTAAGTTTTATTTTTTATTTGTTTTGTTTCGTTTAAATTAATGCTTAATAACGTAAAAATAAGAGAAATTTAATTCCTTAGTTTAAAGGAAAGAACATAATTTCATAAATATTAAAGGCTTTTTTTATGAAAAATCTAACTATTTATTAATTTTATTACTAAATTTAAAATTGAACCTTGAAAATTTTAATTTGTTTTAATTACAGCGGTTGAGAATCATTGTTACACTTCTGCAAAAACCAATTAAACCATCATCACAAATGAAAGGAAGATGTTCTGAATTCATCACCATATTGCCTTTGAAGTGCAAAACTAAAGTGCTTTTATTGTATTTGTTGAAATCTATGATATTTTTTTATAAATTACAATTTTTTAAACTAATTAACTAAACTACTACTATTTTAAATAAATAACTTTAAAATAATTACTATTTAACAAATATAACAGTTTTTATAAAAGAAACATTAAGGCAATATTACTATTGTAACAAAACTTTTGTAACAAAAACCTATTTCCTAATAATTTCCAAAATTTCTTGTTATTTTCAAAAGTATTGTTTTTATACGCTGTCCTTCTACTCTTCTATTAAATGTAATACCTATAAAGATTTGCTATTTATCTATCACTAAGCTTTCTTTAACTTTATAAATATGATTAACAAAATCAACAAAATTTCTTAGTTTTTAAGTTATAGTTTAATATTAACAATAATAATAATAATTGTAAAACATTTATATTTATTATTTAAAATCAACAAGATACTAACCATAATTAGAAAAACTTGAGAATTATTTTAAGCTTTTAAATCCAACAGAATTTGTGTTAAATCTTGTTTTTTAAACAAATTTTATATAAAAAACACTAAAAACCAAGTATTTTTTTAATTGATTCACTTTGTATTATTGTTATTTGTTTTTACTGATTATTAACTCTGTCTCTATCTAAATTTATTAAATATAATAATGTACGTATTTAATTTTTTTTATATTTGTATTATTTTATAATTTAAATCAAAAACTGTTAACTTTAAATATATCTACATAAATAATAAAAATAAAATTTATATTTAATATTAAAAATCTCTCATTTTTCATTTAAATTACTTATTAAAGTCTTTTATTAAGTTTAAATTAAAAAAAAACGTTAAAAAGTTCATGTAAATTTTCAAAAGTCTGGCAACCCTATTAACACCTAAAATTAGCGCCATCTATTGGTTGCCTATTGGTTAGTTTTGCAAGCAACATGTCAGTCTGGCAACATTGACGCAAAAATGACATGCCGCTATGGAAAAACATCTGGCAACTCTGTACAAAATTTAAAAAATATTAGAGTTGCCAGATTGTTTTCCATAGTGGCATGCCAATTTTAAGCCAATATTGCCAGACTGACATGCAGTTTGCAATAATAGCCAATAGGCAACCAATAGATGGCGCTGATTTTAGGTTGTAAGAGCGTTGCCAGACTTATGAATATTTACATGAAAAATTTAACGGATTTTTTAAATTTAAACTCTTTTCTTGTCATTTAAACTGAATAAAACAAATAAATAAGTCATTTTATGCATTTTTTTGTAAACGTTTTATTTAAATAAATATTATATTACATTTTCTGTTTGTATTTATGAAATTTAATACCACTTAAGTCCCAAACAATTAATCTAAAAGAGAAAAGTATATATATTTAAATTTTCTATAATATCGAACCTATTAAAATAAAATTAAACATTCAGAATCCTGAGTACATGTAAATCTATAGAAACAACATAGACTAGACTATAGACTAGACCATAGACTAGACTATAGACTAGACTATAGACTAGACTATAGACTAGACTATAGACTAGACTATAGACTAGATTATAGACTAGACTATAGACTAGACTATAGACTAGACTATAGACTAGACTATAGACTAGACTATAGACTAGACTATAGACTAGATATAGACTAGACTATAGACTAGACTATAGACTAGACTATAGACTAGACTATAGACTAGACTATAGACTAGAATATAGACTAGACTATAGACTAGACTATAGACTAGACTATAGACTATAGACTAGACTATAGACTAGACTATAGCCTAGACTATAGACTAGAATATAGACTAGACTATAGACTAGACTATAGACTAGACTATAGACTAGACTATAGACTAGACTATAGACTAGACTATAGACTAGACTATAGACTAGACTATAGCCTAGACTATAGACTAGACTATAGACTAGACTATAGACTAGACTATAGACTAGACTATAGACTAGACTATAGACTAGACTATAGACTAGACTATAGACTAGACTATAGACTAGACTATAGACTAGACTATAGACTAGACTATAGACTAGACTATAGACTAGACTATAGACTAGACTATAGACTAGACTATAGACTAGACTATAGACTAGACTATAGACTAGACTATAGACTAGACTAGAAGACTAGACTAGACTATAGACTAGACTATAGACTAGACTATAGACTAGACTATAGACTAGACTATAGACTAGACTATAGACTAGACTATAGACTAGACTAGACTATAGACTAGACTATAGACTAGACTATAGACTAGAGATATAGACTAGACTACTAGACTAGACTATAGACTAGACTATAGACTAACTATAGACTAGACTATAGACTAGACTATAGACTAGACTATAGACTAGACTATAGACTAGACTATAGACTAGACATAGACTAGACTATAGACTAGACTATAGACTAGACATAGACTAGACTATAGAAAGACTATAGACTAGACTATAGACTAGACTATAGACTAGACTATAGACTAGACTATAGACTAGACTATAGACTAGACTATAGACAGACTATAGACTAGACTATAGACTAGACTATAGACTAGACTATAGACTAGACTATAGACTAGACTATAGACTAGACTATAGACTAGCTATAGACTAGACTATAGACTAGACTATAGACTAGACTATAGCCTAGACTATAGACTAGACTATAGACTAGACTATAGACTAGACTATAGACTAGACTATAGACTAGACTATAGACTAGACTATAGACCTAGGACTATAGACTAGACTATAGACTAGACTATACTAGACTAGACTATAGACTAGACTATAGACTAGACTATAGACTAGACTATAGACTAGACTATAGACTAGACTATAGACTAGACTATAGACTAGACTATAGACTAGACTATAGACTAGACTATAGACTAGACTATAGACTAGACTATAGACTAGACTATAGACTAGACTATAGACTAGACTATAGACTAGACTATAGACTAGACTATAGACTAGACTATAGACTAGACTATAGACTAGACTATAGACTAGACTAGACTAGACTATAGACTAGACTATAGACTAGACTATAGACTAGACTATAGACTAGACTATAGACTAGACTATAGACTAGACTATAGACTAGACTATAGACTAGACTATAGACTAGACTATAGACTAGACTATAGACTAGACTATAGACTAGACTATAGACTAGACTATAGACTAGACTATAGACTAGACTATAGACTAGACTATAGACTAGACTATAGACTAGACTATAGACTAGACTATAGACTAGACTATAGACTAGACTATAGACTAGACTATAGACTAGACTATAGACTAGACTATAGACTAGACTATAGACTAGACTATAGACTAGACTATAGACTAGACTATAGACTAGACTATAGACTAGACTATAGACTAGACTATAGACTAGACTATAGACTAGACTATAGACTAGACTATAGACTAGACTATAGACTAGACTATAGACTAGAACTATAGACTAGACTATAGACTAGACTATAAGACTAGACTATAGACTAGACTATAGACTAGACTATAGACTAGACTATAGACTAGACTATAGACTAGACTATAGACTAGACTATAGACTAGACTATAGACTAGACTATAGACTAGACTATAGACTAGACTATAGACTAGACTATAGACTAGACTATAGACTAGACTATAGACTAGACTATAGACTAGACTATAGACTAGACTATAGACTAGACTATAGACTAGACTATAGACTAGACTATAGACTAGACTATAGACTAGACTATAGACTAGACTATAGGACAGACTATAGACTAGACTAACTAGACTATAGACTAGACTATAGACTAGACTATAAGACTAGACTATAGACTAGACTAGACTATGGACTAAACTATAGACTAGGCTCTAGACTATACTATACAGTTATAAGCTAGAAAAAGTACTGAAAATATCGCGCAGTACCGCTGTATTTTTGAAAAAAGTACTTAAGTACTGAATATTTTATGCCTGATTGAGTGTCTCTATGGCTTAACTGGGAAAATTTAAAAGAAAATCATTTTACCTGACAACTAATGTATGACTGAAAGCCGACAGAGTGAATTTTCTATTGTTTCTAATAGGAAACTTTAGTTATTTCCATACCCTGCGATCAAACACCGACTTGTTGCTGTCCAACAAACATTTAGTTAACGCGTTTGGTATGAAGCGAACACGAACATGTTGTGGGGCAACACAAAATTCTATCTAAAACAACTGAAATTTTCCTTAAAACATTTCAGTATCATTGCAAACTCGAAACAATAGATATCGAAATAAATTAACACACAAATGAAGCGCGAACGCGTTTTTTTCTAATTAATATTTTTAATTTTTTTTCTGTATAAAAATTATTTTAAACAAATGATTTATAAAATATAAAAAAAGAAATATTAATAACTAATTAATTATATAATAAATATAAATTAAAATATATATTATGATTAATTTAAAATAAATAAAAAAAATATAATACTTATTAAACACAGTCAAGTAGTTGGCATTTAGAGAGAGATTATACACATAGAAAAAGTAAATATTTAAAGTGAAAAACAAAAGAAATATTTTAAATTAAGGCAGCAGCAGCAACAAAATTTAAAATATTTAAAATATTTTATAAAAATAAAAACACTAAGAAATGTTTAAAATCTAAATAAAACAGCCAAGTGAAAAAAATACTACAACAAAATTGAAAATAAAATTTTGTGAAAAAAAAACAACAAAATATGTTAAAAATTTAAATAAAAAAAAAAAAACAAAATAAAATTAAATTTATAAACAAAAATAAATTTGTTAAATAACGTAAGTGTTTTAGTATTTTAAATTCTAAAAAAAACTTTAAAGTACATATTTGCTAAAAAGAGTTTAAAGTTTTTAAATTGATGATTAAGTTTTTTTTTTCAAAAATTTTAAAAGATTCTTAAGAATTTTATAGATTTTTTCTTATGAAAAATTTTATTAAATTTTATGGCCATAAAAAAAACCAATTGAATACAATGAATTGAGCAAAAAAAAAAAAAGAACTGAATTGAATGAGTATGAAAGATGTTTTATTGTTTCTGATTTTTAAAATGTAGAAAAATAATACATAATGAAAAAATAAGGAAAATTCAAAACAAAATATTTAAAAAAAAAACTGTGTTTATGGTTGATTAACTTTTAAATCTATTTTACTTTTTGTAATAAAAGGATTTTATTTATTCGTTAGTTTGATTGTTGTATGTGTTTAAAATCTGTGTGTTTTTTGTTTTGGAACTGTGTGTGTGAGTGAGTGATTGATTGTTTTATCTGTGTGTATTGGATAAAAACAGTTAAACATGAAAATAAATTTAAAAAATCTGTGTTACAATTACACATTTTCTGTTGGATCATTAACATGTCGGTCCATTATATATGTACATGTAAATATATATATATATATAACCCCTGTAGTATACAGAGCACAGTCTGATTTATATGTTTAAAAGCACCTTATTAACATGAAATTTATCCAACAATAGATTCGTTTGCATCAGTTAACTTTTCTTCTTGTTTGACACAATCAAAGCTATTTAATTATTTGATCGTAGCAACCTAAACTGGAGCTAAATTATCGCATATATACATACGTGATCGCATAAGCTTTGGTATCGAAAACAGATTTCAAACAGCCCATGTTTTCTTTGTAATCGATCGATCGATTTTCTACATACGTATGTAAATTTTATAATTTTTCAGTTGATTTAACGAAATAATTTAACTAGAAATAGTATAATCAATCATATTTGTCCTATTAACTTTTCTTTGGTTAGACTTTGTTTAAGAGAACATACTATTGGAAAATAAAAGTTCTTATCTAATCTTTAAAGTTAGATGAACTCAATTTGACGCTTAAATAGACTAAACAAAATTTTTCCAAAATTCTAGATAAACTATTAAATCGAAAATGTAGAATTTGTTTTGATAAAGCCGATTTAAACGATTTATAGCTAAGTAAATAGAAAATTGTCTTGAGATTGTTATGTCGATCGTATTAAATTAATACAAATTAAATCATTTTATAAGTAAAACAATTTTTCAATTTAATACTAAATACGTTTAATATTTGAGTTTTAAATATTTGAAAAAGAACGTAAATTTTTGGTTTATTTTCAGAGATGCATAACTTTATTATTTTCAGCTTTTTGTAATTCTAATTACTCTATTTAGAATGATTTTTCTTTGAAAAGACCTTAAATTGTCACTTGATAGTTTAAATCCTTGTAAACCTCTAAAGATTTCTTCATTTTTTCGTAAAACAATAATTTTTTTGCGGAAAAACTCATGTATTTATGAAAACTTCTTAAAAACTGTTATAAAAACATAGTTAACTGTTATACAAGTTACAATCACATTCTTCTATATTATAACAATCATATACACAATTCTCTACGTTATAATGACAATTAAAAAAACTGTTATACATATTATTTACACATTTTTTTTTTTGAAAAAACTGTTATACTAATAGTTTTCTATAAAAATATTTATAATAGCTTTTTCTATAAAAGCAACTATTAAATACAAATTTGTCTATAGTAATCAACTTCTATATTTTAATAGAAAAACTGTTATACTCAAATTGTTTCTGAATAATAATTTTCTACAGAAAAAATTGTTCTACAACTTTAATCTATAGAAACAAGTTTTACGTTAAAATTTTTCTATAATAAGGAACTTTTCTATAGAAATAGTTGTTGTACACAAATTTTTCCACAGAAAACCCTGTAATAAACCAATTTTGCTATAGAAAAAACTGTTATAAACTAAATTTTCAATAGAAAAAACTGTTATATACAAATTTTTATATAGAAAAAACTGTTATATACAAATTTTTCTATAGAAAAAACTGTTATATACAAACTTTTCTATAAAAAAACTGTTATACAAAAATGTTTCCATATAAAAGACTGTTTTACACAAATTTTTCTATAGAAAAAACTGTTATACACAAATTTTCTATAGAAAAAAATTGTAATACATATTTTTTGCCATAGAGAAAACTGTTATGCACAAATTTTTCTATAGAAAAAAACTTTATACACAAATGTTTCTGTAGAAGAAACTGTTACACACAAATTTTCTATAGACAAAACTGTTATACGCATTTTTTGCTACAGAAAAAACTATTATGCACAAATTTTCCATAGAAAAAACCTTTATACAAGAAACTTTTCTGTATAAGAAACTGTTATACACAAATTTTCTATAAAAAAAACTGTTATACACATTTTTTGCTATAGAGAAAACTGTTATACACAAATTTTCTATAGAAAAAACTGTTATACACATTTTTTGCTATAGAGAAAACAATTATGCACAAGTTTTCTATAGAAAAAACCTTTATACACAAACTTTTCTATAGAAGAAACTGTTATACACAAATTTTTCAATAGAAAAATTTGTTATAGAAAAAACTGTCATACGCACAAATTTTTCTATAGAAAAAACCTTTATACACAAATGTTTTTCTTAAAGAAACTGTTATACACAAATTTTTCTTTAGTAAGAACAGTTTTACACAAAATTTTCTATGGAAAAAGCTGTTATATTTTTCAATAGAAAAATTTGTTATAGAAAAAACTGTCATACGCACAAATTTTTCTATAGAAAGAACCTTTATACACAAATGTTTTTCTTAAAGAAACTGTTATACACAAATTTTTCTTTAGTAAGAACAGTTTTACACAAAATTTTCTATGGAAAAAGCTGTTATACAAAAATTGTTCTATAGAAAAAACTGTTATATATACATTTTTCTACAGATAAAACTTTTATGCACAAATTTTTCTATAGAAAAACTGTTACACAGAAATGTTTCTATAGAAAAAAAACTGTTATACTAACATTTTATAGATAAAAATCAGTTATAAAAACATTTTTCTTTAGCTTAAAGTTTGTTTGGAATAATGATGAAAATATTTTGAAACTTAGAGTTGCAACTAAATAGTTTTAATGAAAAATAAATCCAAAACTAATTTGAAGATTAAACAAAATGTTTGGCGATAGGAACTGTATCTTATTTTAACACTTTACATATTGTATATGAAGTAAAATCATCACTTTAACATGCTCCTTAACCCAGAGAAAACCGGAAGTTGATGAATACGTTTCGGGCATTATTTAACAGGTCTTTGAACTTACTTTTCCCTTTAAAAAAAATCCGCATCTAAACCTTAAACCAGCACTGTTTCGAAAACACTGTACGAATCTGTATGTATGTAAATATTATGTCTGATTTACTTATAAAGTACATACGATTAAATATACTTATGAATGTATGTATTTATGTTGGTATGAATTTATGTAGAGTAGTTATGAATGATGATGATGTTGTTGTTTTAATAAAAAAATATGCATGAGTAGGATAAAAAAAATACTTATGATGGTGATGATGGTTGTTAATAATGCTCTCATTGTTGTACTTTCATTTAAATAATATTGTTGTTGTAGTTGTTGTCATCACTAATAATAATGATAATGTTATTGCTATTCTTCTCACTGTTAATGCTCAATGAGGGGATTTTTTTATGTGAGATAAACACGAAAGTAAAACAAATCCAAAAAGTAAAAAAAAACTGCTCATATACGAGAGTAAAAACAAAAGTAAAAAATGTATGCAAGTAAAATAGCTTTATTAAATACGATTAGTTAGTAGTAAAATAAAATATTTTCTTAAAGATTTCCCAGCAAACATTTAGGTTTAAATGTAAGTTGTTTTTGATTTCTTAAAAAAAAGAACAATAAATATTTAAAGATTTAAAGAAAAAATTTAAATTAGGAATTTTTTTTACATTAAACTTTTTAGGTTTGCTGGGTTCTTAGCCATGCACATGTTATCTATGTGTATGTAGTGTGTAAAATGCCGAAACTCAAGCTTTTTTAAACGAAATTAAATTAAATCCAATAAAAAAAAGTATCCATCCATCCAGCCGCACAACTAAACAAACAAATTCAACCCAACAACAAATGACCGACGGGGACGATTATGACGACGACGGTATTAAACAACAACAACATGAAAAAATATGATTGTAGATTTAAACAAACAAACAAAAAAAAGATACAACACAAATTAACAGTGATCTACAAGTGCAGGTCGCAAAATATACAACAACAATAACAGCATCCATCATGTTGTTGTTATTGTTGGAACATACTTGCACACACACACACACACGAATACACATACAGACTGTGTCACTGTACAACGTGAATCCAAAAGATTGATTTTCATGTATAAAACGGAAGATAAAAAAACTAAATTTTAAACAAAATAACAACAATAACAATAACAAATTCTTAAAAAGCGAACAGATTAAAAAGAGAACAAGCACACTTATACAGTAAGTGACAAAATTTATTTATAACAAATTTATCTATCGATTGCTAATTGATTGATTTATGGCGGTTGAACATTAAGTTGGGGAAAAAAATTGAATTGGACTTAAATAAGAACAATTAGTTAAATGTTTGTTGTGACACAAATGGAATGAGAAGTTTAAAAATATTACAAAAATCTATAGAAAAAAACTTTTACACACAATTTTTTCTATAGAAAAACTGTTATACATAACTTCTTCTAGAGAAAAAACACAACTTTTTCTGCAGAAAAAACTGTTAAAAATAACTTTTTCTATAGAAAAACCTGTTATACACAACTTTCTCTATAGAAAAAAAACTTTTATACAAAACTTTTTTCTATGGAAAAACTGTTACACATTATTCTACAGAAAAAACTGTTATACACAACTTTTTCTATAGAAAAAACTGTTATACACAAC